TATTCCCTGATTTTTATCGAGAGTTTTCTTAGGTGACTTCGGTCCTTTAAGATGTAATTAACTATAGGGGCTTGCCCTTATAGGAAGCTTTTCTGAACCCAGCTTAAAATAAACCCTATTTAATTCCTTGTATTAAATAGGGGAACTTGTCGGCAAATAAAACGGTTTCCCAGACCCAAACGGATGTCATATGTTTTCGTAGTTTATTTGATTGAGCCTCATCCTCAAGTCTTGTGTTTATCCCTCGGGATAGATACAGGATTTGAGGTAGAGCGCTTTTTCATTTAAACTGTGAAAAATATGAGGTCAGTTTGATTTCATATTTTTCTAAAATTATATATATATATACGTAAATTAAAAAGTCCTTCCGAAGCGGGCGACGGGATTTCAATTTCGGCGACCGACAGCTTCTTACGGGCGACCCCCAAACGTAACTCCCCCCCCTTTTAAACGCCGACACCATCCTGGTTTGAAAATCATAACCAACCTCATAACTAGCATCTATGTTTCTTGTTAGCATTTTGCATTACCTTAATATATCCAGCATTAAAGATAATGCATTAAAAATGTTGCATCAACCATTTAGAGTAACAGTAAGACATTTAACTTTCTAAACTACAACAGTTTGAACATCATCAACATCAGGTAAACATGGGAAGAAAACAAAGCAATATCTAGTTATATCCAGAGTTACACATGGAAAACATTCGTTGATGTTGAAACTGAATTACGGAATGGTGATAACTGGTGCATGCTGAAGGTTGTGTTTTTCATTGTGATGCAGAGTTTCCATCACAAATATAAATAAAAGAATAAATCATCATTTAAAGCCAAAGTGGAGAAAAAGTACCCTAATTAGTGGAGGTGAATTAAGGGGTGCGCCATCAATGCCTCTGCAAAGTATGCTTGCAAGGTCAAAGCGGAATCCATTCACGTGATATTCTTCAACCCTATAGAGGTTCAAGCATAAGTGTGCTTTGTTTAATATGCTTCGTGATCATTCAAAATTGAAAAAATTAGTAGTAAATATATTATTTAGAAAATGATAGTTCATGTATACGATTATCTTAGTCAAAAATATAAAATAAGATTTTGTTCTCAACTTTCCTAGCAAGAGAAATTTTTAGAACTAAAAAAAGAGCGAGCTTTTTCATTTACAAATATCTTAAGTGCCCCAAGGCAAACAGATATTGCAGCACATCAGATTAAATTCTATACTTAGTTGATGTTGTTTCAGTAATTCTTTGACTTTCAGAATGTTCTAATTTTATTTATTTGTGTAAAATATACAAATGACTATGATCCTATGGGGATCAGATTGTGCTCTCTAGAGGGCTAGTTTGGTTGGTTCATTCTTAATTATTTACATGAATCAATTCTTGCTTTTGTCCAGCTGCACTCTCTATTTGGATCCTCTGGTTGGTTCATGACTTAGGCTTTTTAGCATAAAAATGTTTTACAGAAGTAGCCTTTGGTTGCTGTCGGTTTTGTATTAGGCCTTTGATTCTGCATGAAAGGCTTGGTTGGTGATAGGATTTAAAAGTTTGTTGGGCAACAAGTATTAAATGGGTTGTGACTGTAATAACTGAAATTTTAATATTACTATTACTATTATTATTATTATAAAAAAGATAAGGAGAGCGAGAGATAGAGGAAGGGGAAGAAGAAGAAGAAAGAAGAAGGAAGAAGGAGAATAGCTTATATGTGAAGGCAGGGGGTTACGATTGGTTTCAAGACGTAGTAGAAGGAAGTAGATGAAGCCATTTGTGCACTTTGGAAGAAAGTAATGTTATGGTTTAAGCTTTTAATTATATAATTTTAATTAATTAAATATGTCATGATATTAATATTAAAATTTTTTGAATTAAAATCAAGTCTTATAAGTGGAAGATTTTGGTGGGAAGAAATATCGATCTGAGCAAATTTCAGAAAGATAATATTTTGGGTGTCTTATTTATATAAAATGTATTGTTTAATCAAGTAAAATGTTATGAAATAGATATTAATATAATGAATCAAAGAAAATTTGATTCAACGAATTAGTGTTTTGGATCGTGATTTGGGAAAAAAAATGCATTGTCAAAGAGAAGGTGATAGTAAGAAGAAGTGAGCAGAGGATTAAGCTCGTAAAGAATTCCTTTAAGGCAAAGGTGGGTAATTGATTTCTTATGTGTATTAATTAATGTTTTATTTAAAAAGGACTATTGTTATTGTATTAAAAATATCTAATTTTCAAATTATATGCATATTAAAAATTAAAGGATGTTTGAAATGAAAATATAAGAAACAAGGAAGGGTAAATGGTTGTTCAACGACTTTAAATGGATAAAATAAAAATAAATCGAAATGTAAAGGATTAAGTCAATCAGGATGTACCCCTTTATGGTATTAGCTAGGGACACTATTAGACCTGTGCACAAAAAAAGCAAACAAAAATGGTAAAGATGTACCTTCGGGTGCAAAACTTTGAAAGTACCTAGGATGCAAACTTTTGATGGCACATATGAGTACAACTTTTTTAAGATAGAATTGGTTTAGACACTAATCCTGATATAACTTCTTAAAAATATTTTAAAAATAAATACTTAAGTTGAAACAGGAAGAACTAATTTAAAATGAAAGTTTACAGTTGAATTAATTAATGAATCACATTTTTTTTTCATGCATATCATTTGCATATTAATTTAATTCATAATAAAATTACAATCGTTTGTTAAGTTGTGATAAACTTACTATTTAAAATAATAATTTCTTTCAGGTAAAATACTAGATCAACATGACTGACAAGAGAGATTTGGTTTACAAGATAAGGTATACTAATAATAGGTAGTAGGTTGTTTGTTATGGTTCTAGCTTCTTGTATTATTTGTTTCAAATTAATATTGTACTATTATTAATCAAATTATGAAATTATTTACTTACAGACTATGATGTCTTTTTGGTTGGATTTGATTATAGTTTAGTATACTCTATGATATTTAGTGGCTCTTTTATTATTGAAAATTTTGGTGGTTAATTATTTAATTTAAAGGAAAAGTTAATCCCGTTCGACCGCAATTCCTCATTGTGTTAATTCTAAACTATCAGGCTGAGTCATGACAGTAACTTTGAAATGAACTATTTGATCACTGATTTGGAGACTCAGAAAGATTAGTGAGTTTGCTCTAACCAGTTCTCTAAATGGCGGAACTTCCGTGTCAGCGATTCGCATGAAATGTACAACTCTTTACACAAATGTTGAAGCTTGTCATTTTTGTACTCTATACTATAGTTGTTATCATGGAAAGTTGAATGTGTTATGTCTTTTAAGCTAGTTCCTATACGTGATTCAAGCTTTTTAATCTGATTTCAAAGCATCCGCCTTGACTATCTTTATGGGCATATTCTCACAATGTTCTTGTGTATGATTTTTCGATAATATTTAGAGGAATCAAAGTTGCCAACTAAATCTTGATATTTTTTCATATTAAAAAATATATGATTTAAAAAAAGGACTGTGAACTCCCTAATTCAATTATTTTGCTTAACAACATTTAAGTTTTCCCATTTGTACATGAATGCTAATTAGTTGATAATATTTCCAAGTGTAAGTGTTTAATAAAACTTTTCAGAGAAAGTTATCACTTATACCTAAGGCGTGGATTGTCATTTGATGATTTCTTTTCCTTGCTTTCACTCCATTCTCTAAGATCAAAGAATGGTTTACTTGGGTGATCAAATTTTATACAATCTAGGTTTTAGACTATGAAATTAGTTTTCTTAAAGGCATAGGATTTTCATTAGTCTTAAATGTCATGAGGAATCAATTTTTACATGAGCATTAATTCCTCATGAAATTAGAAGTTCATGAACTTTGAGTTAAGTCTTCTCAAGTTTCGCTCTTTCTTTTTTCTTCTTTTTTTTTTATTGTTTAAATTGGAAGCTCATGAACTACAAATTTAGATTTGTGTGAGTAATGTCAAACATGGCATTCTACATCCACATTTGAAAACCCTAGATTTGCTTAAGATTGCAGCATCATATTAACAAGTAGTAGAACATAGCATTTGGGTCAGTCAACAAAATAACCAAAAAGGTTATGGTTCTAGAAAACTACAATGTGATCGACAAGATATTCAGAATTACATTCCTACTTCAGCAAGAGGATCAAAAAGTTATGCATTTAAATGTCAAGATATTCAGAATTACATCCTTCTGCGACAAGAGGATCAAAAAGTTATGCATATAAATGTCAATTGAATTAAGATGCTAAAATATCATATTCAAAGTATCTAATGCATATTACTTTTAGAGTGTATAGTTCTTCCATCTAGGATTATAAATGTAAAATCTAGAATATCATCATCATCATCATCATCATGTTTATACTCATCCCAATTATTTGGGGTCAACTTTATGAATCTTTGTTTTCCATTCACTCACTGAAAAGTTAAACTATTGGATAAAATTTTTAAAAGAGACATAAAATTGGTAGAACAAAGATCAAGCATATAATATGCAATATTTACTAGTGCAAAAATGATAATTATCAACCAATATTATTGAAAAATCAAGTGACAGATATGTGGCAAGGATAAATATCTTGAATTTTCTATAGAGAAGAATTGGGATATGGATAAGTATTTTGTTCAAGAGTTAAGATGTAATGGTAAAATGGAGTAGTTTCTCGAGAGTACATTGCAATATAACAACAATCTTATTACATCAATAATTTGTTGGGCAATAAAGAAGTCACTAATCAGTAATTTAAGCAAAAATATGAATGTAAAGGATAAGAAATAACTACATTATAGAGATTGTGGGGTAGTAGAATTTGTGAAATTTAATCTTTTGATTTGAGATTGTATAAAAACGAGAGAAAAACATGCACCATTAGGAAAAGTGGATAAACTAAATGCTGAATATTAAGAAAGAAATGGAATAGACGACATAACTATGGTTAAAGTGACATTAGGATTTAACAAACATCTAACGAAAAGTAAATATTACTAATGAATTCAAATTGCAAAATTACAACAAAGCAAAGCAGAAATCGGAAATTGCAACAAAAAACATGCAACACTATAACAAGGGTTGAATATAGGGTGTGGGTGGTCCCAAGTAGGGTTTGGACCTCTAAGGTGGTGGGAAGGAGAAGGCTAACAAGCAGGAAACAGCAAGGCAATGTTTTCCTAGGTTTCGGACAGCAAACAAACAACAAGAATCAATGTGGACTGGTTGTCTGAGGTGCAGTGGCAGCAAAGGTGTGGTTGGCACAGCAGGGGACAAGTGGTTTGTGAGGCAACAACAAGGCGAGGATTGAGAAGGTGAGAGTGATGTCAGGAATAGGTGGAAAGGGATAAACACCACCCTGGGAATGAGATACAACTATAGCACCACTAGGAACCCTTGGATATAGCCCAAGAAAGAAAATGAAATTTTGACTGTTGTTAAAAAGCAAAACACAGCAAAACTAAAAGTAATACAACATATACAAGTCTCCTAGAAGCAAAATACCTAATTGAAAAATAAAAGAAGTAAAAATGAAAATATGTTAAAAATTAGAAAGAAAATTTAAAAAAGTTTTTTGGTTTGTTTCCTGCATAGATCGCAGGAACCAGATGTTGCGTTCCTCGCAACTATGGTATCATAGGACCTCGTACGCTCTCGCGTCAATCTAGCGAGGTTTTTGGAGCTTGGACCTTATCGGTCGAAGGTTTTAATTCTTCAATATATAGTGTCAGGTCAACCGCGTTCAAAGTGGCATAGCAGCCGTAAACTCTTGGGACTGGAGAGCCTTCAACTGCATCTCTAAAAACACCTAGATCCCATTGTCAAATGCAATGTCCCACAAAACATGAGAAGATTTCCTGAAATGCAAGTAACCATCTAAATTTATCCACCTATATGCGGGTACATTGTTGAACTGAACTGGAATTTCATGCCAAACGTACTCCACAAAGTCCTCCAA